CTGCCATTGCAGAGAGGAAGGGTAGGGGAAGCAGAGGCTCTGGATGGGGCTGCGAGGGGTGGGCAGGCAGAAGGCAGGGTTGCTAATCTCTCCGGTGCATGTGTCAATTTGCAGCGCGCGGGGCTCATTAGTCTCTTGATTGCAGATGAAGCCGGCCCTGCCGTTCTACAGAAAGCTCTGTTACGCCATTGGGGGTATTCCCTACCACATGACAGGAAACGTCCTCGGGTTCTTCTTCCAGATCTTCCTCCTGGATGTTGTGCAGGTGAGCGGCCCTTGGTGGATGAACGCAGGGAGACGTGGTACAAGGGTGGGGGGGGCAGTCTGGGTGAATGGGTGTGGTGTAGTGGGGGGCTGTATGCGTTCTACAGAAAGCTCTGTTACGCCATTGGGGGTATTCCCTACCACATGACAGGAAACGTCCTCGGGTTCTTCTTCCAGATCTTCCTCCTGGATGTTGTGCAGGTGAGCGGCCCTTGGTGGATGAACGCAGGGAGACGTGGTACAAGGGTGGGGGGGGCAGTCTGGGTGAATGGGTGTGGTGTAGTGGGGGGCTGTATGCTCTGTAACCCGGGGTCCCCCTGCGCTGGGATGCGAGATTCTCACTGACTCTCCCAAATGTGGATTAACCCAGACACCCAGGCTCAGCCTCCCAGGGGGAAAGACAAAGGGAGGAAAGTGGAGACCAGCACCTGGCTGGGGGCAGGGCCGGGAAGGGAGGCGATCGCTGGCCCAGGGGGAAAGACAAAGGGAGGAAAGTGGAGACCAGCATCTGGCTGGGGGCAGGGCCGGGGAGGGAGGCGATCGCTGTTTGGGAAGCATGGAGAGAAGAGGCTAAGCTGGGGCCTAGGGGCGATGGGCCCCCACCCTAGGGTCTGAGGCATCCTGGCCCTGGCCCCTGTAGCCACATCACATCTGTGCTGTGCTGGACCCTGGAGAAGCAATAACCCCTCTGTTCTACTGGCTGGTGGGGTCTGTTTGTGCTGCTACGGGGGTGCAGGAGCAGGGGACCCCACCTGCATCGTCACAATGGGTCTTGTAGGTTGTTCTTGCAAAGATCTTGATGGTGCCCAAAGCCCCTATAGAAAACACCCTCCCCCCCCCAAGTGCTACAATTGCATTGCAAGCCATGGACCCAAAGAGCTGCAGGAGGAGGGTGTGTCTCTGTCAACACGCTGGAGTCATCACGTTTCCACTGGCTCACCCAGATCGGCCCGGCTCCATGTCTTTCCATTTCCGGAGCCCAGGCTAATAGCCAGGGGATACAGCCTGGAAATGTGCCCAGAGCTGTCAGCACCAGGCCTGTTTGTCTCTCCCAGCTGGATCCGTTCTACTCCTCCCTGATCCTTTTCCTCGGACGCGCCTGGGACGCAGTCACGGACCCTGCTGTTGGCTTCCTGGTCAGCAGGAGCCCCAGGAGGAAGCTTGGGAAGCTGATCCCATGGTGAGCACCGGGGGCTGAGGCAGCAAGAGCGTTGGTTTGGCATCGGAGATTGGGCTCAGCATCCTTGAGGACTGGGACCTAAAGCATCTGGCTGCACACTTAACATGGGCAGTTTGGAAAGGGGGGACCCACCTTGTAACTAGTGCAGATTCACTAGTCACGGTGGCCGGGGCTTTGACTCCCAGTGGGTCTCTCCGGTGTCACCTGGAGCCTTCCCATTGGCTAAGCTGGGGGAGGGTGGCAGCTCTCCCACCAAGTGGACAGCACAGTAAATACCTAGAGGATTACAGCCCTACCGCTTAACCTCCATATGGCTGGACCCCACCCCACGGATCCCACCGCTGGGTCAAGGCCTTGAAAGTTAGAGCAGGGGCTGGAATAAGCCTCCCCCCCGCCCGCCCTGGATGAGCGCTGGCCTGGCGAGCAGGGGAGCTTCTGCTACAGTGAGCCCGACTCTCGCTTTGCTCCAGTGCTCGTGTCGAATCAGCTGCACTTGCCCCTGCAGGATTGTCGCCTCCATGCCGTTTGGGGTGGTCTCCTACTGCCTGGTCTGGACCACCCCCTTCAACGCCGCCCCCGACTCCCTCAAGTTCCTTTGGTACCTGGCCACGTACTGCCTCTTCCAGACCAGCATGAGTGTAAGGACCGGCACCTGCCGCCGAGCGTTTCTAAATGGCTTGTCCCCCGCCTGGAGCGGAAACAAAGCCGGACATTTGCGCGCGCGTGTGTGTGTGTGTGAGAGAGAGAGAGAGAGAGAGAGAGAGAGAGAGAGCGAGCGCAGTCATGCCACAGGGTGGAATGGCACATTCTTCAAAATGGCACCTTGTGCAGGGTGGGTGACCCAGCAACGCTGGGGGGAGGCTGCCCCTGCCTGCAAGGACCAGAAACTCTAGTAGGCAGGGGGTGCCTGTGTGGCGTCCCAGAAGGAACCCACCCTCTAGGGCAGTGTTTCTCAACCAGTGGGATAAGGACCCTCAGGGGTACTCGAGAGAAGTCTGGGGGGTACGTCAACACAACTGAAATTTGGTGAAAACTGAATTTTTGTTCTAAGTTTTACAGCGCTTGATTATTTTTGGACTTTTTACACCCAAAAATTTCATTGCCTGCCCAGCTACAATTAAGTTGTTTGAACAAATGTGTTGCAATGGTAGAAAAAATTGTGTGTGTCTGAAAACTGTAGGTCCTGGGGGTACAAATAAATATTTTTTCAAAGGGGGGTACTCATTTTTTTAAAAGGGTACTTTATAAAAAAGGTTGAGAAACACTGCTCATGGGGAGCTCACAGCTACTCCAGTGCCAGTCTCCCCCAGCAGGGGGTGCTGTAGGGAATGCTACCCCAGCGCTGGCAGTAGGCCGGGGTGGGCAATAAAATGGCAGAATTCCCCAGGGTTAGCTCCTAGTGGTTCACTGCTGCTATATCTACTGGCATCTCCGCAGGCACAGGTGATTGCGGTTCCCATTGGTCACAAATTGCCGTTTCTGGCCAATGGGAGCTGCGGGAAATGGTGAGGACCAATGGGAGCTGCAATCGCCTGTACCTGCAGAGGTACTGGTAAATATAGCAGCAGTGAACCACTAGGGGGTCTGCTGTAGGCAGAGCTCACAGCACTGACCCCAGACTCTCCCAGCAGGGGGCGCTGCAGGGAAAGCCATAAGAGCGCCCAGCTGCTCTGGCCCCAGTTCTCCCAGCTGAGGGGACTGTAGGGGTAACTGGCGAGCTCACAGTTCTTCCCATCCCCACTGTTCCCAGCAGGGGGCGCTGTAGGGCCTGGTATCTGGTGAGCTGTATATTGAGGTGGGTGAGCCAAGCCAGTAGTTCTAGTTCTTCTGCCTGCTCTCCCTGGAGCTGATGTGTTCCCGAGGGGGGCAGGGCAGTGTCAGCCCCACGGGGGTGGGGCGGGAGAGGCAGGTGATCCCAGGAGCAGCAGCTGAGTGGTTTGGTGTCTGAGCTGTTTTTCTCCCCAGTGCTATCATGTGCCATTTACCTCCCTCACCATGTTCCTGGGAGGGAATCAGCAAGACCGGGACTCGGCCACGGCCTACAGTAAGTGTCTCTGCCCGGACGCAGGGTTCCTTCCATTACAGGCCTGTCAGTCCCCCCGTTGCCTCGCTCCAGGACGGAGGGGCATTGTCTCCGAATCTGGGTTTGCCACAGGGTCATGCCAGGCGTGAAGTTGACCTGAAACCCTAGTTTCAGTAAGAACCTCCCTATTTGGGACACACGTTATTTCAGCTACCCAATAACCGGGCTGCATCAGGGACCCGGAACACATGGCTCAGATCTCAGTCGCAGGGCACACGGTGTGGGATGTGGTTCTACTGAACACACACGGGCCTTGGGCCGGTGGCTGTCAAGAGTCTCCGTGTAGAACCCAAGTCCTGCAGTTCCAGAAATATAGGCCGGGCCCCCCGGAGCAAAGGGGGAAATGTTGCAGGAGGCAGGAAGAGGAGATTTCTTACCCGCTTTGTGAGCAGCCGCCAGCGGCACATGCTGGCCTCCCATCTCCTAAAGCGGCCGGAGCACAGGCCACGAGGCTGACGGGCCCCTCTCCCGTTTGTCCCGGCCCTTGGCAGGAATGGGGATGGAGGTGTTCAGCACGCTGATCGGCTCCAGTATCCAGGGGCAGATCGTTGGCGGGTACCACGCCAGCATGACGAAAAACTGCAGCCTGCCAAATAGGACCCTGTACAACAGCACTTCCCCCGGGCTCACTGACTCCTTGGCTGAGACGGTAAGCACCTGGCCCTGCCCCCCGGGCTCCTCCCTGCTGGTGCC